GTCGCCATAAGTCTTGGCATCGCACAAATAGCGGTGTAGGTGGAATTTGGTCGTTTTTGAAGCTCGTATCATCGTTCTTGCACTATATCAGTCAAGTTTAAGTCGGTGGGTCGGCCTCGGCACCAAATACATTGGCCCATTTCGAGAGGTCCGGAGGCTGACTCGAGATCTATATCCCTTTTCTAAGTGAGATATTCCCCCCTTACTTCGTGTTCTAGCCTCTTTAACTACTATATAATAGTGTAATGGGGATTCAAGGGCTTTCAATAGTGGGATGTAAGGGATTTAGGGACTGTAAGGGGTTGTTACGTGGCTGAGTTGTGGCAAGGCTCTACCAGAGCCTTGTGTGTGTTTCTTAATAGTCGTGGGATCCAGCTAGGACCCAGCTAGGTTCGTCCTGTTCGGTGCAATCCGGGGGTTTTAGGGTTGTGTCGTAACAGATCCCGAGATTAGTTATTAGGCTCTTTTATTACATCTCTTACCTCCTCCTAATAATTGTTCTTGAATCTTGACCTTCTCTACTCTAAGTCGAAAGACCTCTCTTCTAAGATCAGGGATGATCAGGGCTGATCAGGGCCTATCAGGGCCTTGTCGGCGGCTACTGCTAGGGTACTCTCTTTTCGGCTCTACTAATGACGGCAATAACGACGCTTATTCATATCTAGCACCCGATGAAAGGTCGTTAACTTTCACGGTGGCTCGGTTAAATACATAGGTTATCATTTTCGACGCTAGACTATACACTAAGAGTGAGGAATTTGAACTGTGAAACTAGGTGGTAAGGGCGTATAATTAGATGGGAGCCGACAAGATTACGTCCCTAAACTTTGCCGTACCTGTGACCTACCTGGCAAAATCAGGGGGCTGCATAGTTGTCCTCTCGGAAGTATCTAAAGCGCACCCAGCAGTCGGAGGAGCGGGCTTGATTTGCTTGCCAATGTACTGACGTGTTGTAGCTTCGGCTCGATCTCGAGCTAGAAACCACCGAAGCTGGCAACAAACAGATGCAACTCATCTCGGAGACAAATCGAAACACAAGTCAACAGATCGTGCTCGCTAGGGAGACCTCCGAACTGGCCAGCCAACAACTTGCCCTGAACAGAGAGACCCATGAAGCGGTCCGGCAACAGCTCTTGCTCATCCAATAAACCAACGAGAATAGTGCACAACAGATTTCCCTCGCCCGAGAGATGTCGGAAAGAGCCTCGAAGCAACTTGAGCTCAATGAGAAAACCAACGAGGCACTAACGAAGCAAGTCCAATTGCAGACGGACACGAATCAGGCTATCCTGGAGCAGCTTCAGCTGATTCGCAGCACTTTCAACCAAACACAACATCAACAAGGCCTTGTCGAACGAGCGGGCCAGAAAACCAAGGTCTTCTCGTGGATAATGATGGTGAGGAGGTCATGGCTAGCCTCACCGGAACCGTCGCTGACGCCTTTCGTCTATTCTAGATTCTCGTGTCGCCAGTCGCCCTTGGCTGCTAGTATGTTCCCGATGCAGGAGAACGTGATCCCTTTCCTTCGTCCTAACATTAGAGCATTCCTGGGTTTGGTGTTGACTTTCATCCTCTTACAACTCGCTGTCCACACCACTCTCTTCGGAAATTGGAAAAAGATGGTTGCCTTTTGTTCGAAGCAAAGCACAACTCCTCGCGGACATATTGTCATACACTCCTTGACAGCAGCTGATGCGCTTCGCGACCTCTAGTCTGCTGAATCGCTGAAAATTATGTCTTTGCGGGAGTGGGACAGACTCGGAGCAATTTGTAAATCTTGACAAATTGGCTTCTCACGGAACTGGCTGCAACTAATGCTAGACGTCAACATGCCATGTTCGCCCACGTGGCGGCCCATTTGAAATCCGGTTACTGTAGCTGGACGGCTCGGCGTATCATGTTTCCAGTCGTCCTGTCCAAACCAATCCTTTCCGTGTCACACAACACCTGGTCAACAACCAAAGCTGTACGAGAGAAAGGGCACTAGAAGCGCTATGACACCGCAAGACAACGCTCAGTGACTAGCAAAGATAGTATTGAATTTCCGAACTTGAGATATTTGGCTTCCCACCAATGCACTATAGCGGGGGGAAGAGGCCAATCATGACCTCTAAACTTTATGGAACCGCTGATTAGGTCATTTCAGCACACCGCAACGAAAAATAATAATAATCTGTTCGCCTCTCTAAGCTCGATATATCTTTACTGCACACAAGGATTAGGTATCTCAAATCTATGTGAAATATGGCCGCCGTACTTGGAGAGCTGTAGCTACACATACATGCAGTCACCCGTTTAGTGGATTGCTGCCGGATCTCCGTCTCGTTTATCTGGTTATGTCCCAACAGCGGTCGTGGGATCTTTGCACCGAGAATCATCTGATGCGCCTATTTGCCTATATCTTTGAGAATGGTGGGTTCTGGTGCAATAGCGGCGCCACCAGAAGAAGGATTGACCTGACAAACATTACAGCCACCGCCCAAACCCAAGCCGAAAAAACCCAGTGCCATCTTCGTCTATACCTGTTGTCGGTGCCGGCAGTCTCCAATCAACATCCAGAAGCAAAACTGCCCTCACTGTCATCATGCGAGGTGTAGCACGTGTCAGTGCAAGAAGGTGGTCTAAAACAAGGGTTAGGGACGACATCGAGATCCTCAATGAAGAGACGAACAAGTGCCTCCGCAGACATGAACAAGTACCCACCTATACAAGAGCCTGCCCCTGCGCGGAAAGGACCAACTGGACAAGACCCGGTGCGTTCCCAAAATGTCCAGTTGGTCTCTTCCGCGCAGGGGCGTGTTCTCGTGCATGTGAGTGCTTGCGCGAGGATCGGACAATGCTGCTCCGAAACTGTTGACAACTCAACGCTTGGTGGAGACCATTTTCTTCCTGGACGCAAGAGTATGCGCATGGCGATATCATGCTCGACAGTGTCTCATTCTCGAACTCCGACTGAACTTTTGGCTCTCGGCACAAGCATTTTTGGATTTTCTCCCACATGACTTTGAGACGTCTTTTCTGTTCACTCTCGGGGCCTGCGCGGTCTTTTTCAGCGAGCAAGGCGTTGGTGATTGTTTCGATTGGGTTGCTTTGGCGTTTGATGGAAGAAGGCCTCGTTCAAAATTTCGAATTGGCGACAACGTTCGGGGCTTTATCTCTCGCGTCTGCAATCGTGGGGCCAACTGGTTCTGGCATGCC